AAAAATGGGAATTGATTTGTTTTTTATATTTTATCTGAATGTAAAGGCAAGAAGAAAACAATGAACAATCTCTGCCTGCAAAGTGCAGTGTTTTGTCATTTGTAGTGTTTTATGCTCATTTCCCCAGCTCCTAAGTTTATCAGGCTTTTACTGAAATTCCCAAGCTACATACTTTGGTGGGTGATGGTAAATGGAAGAAATGTCTTCTATTTTTATATGACATTTTTAGGAACTTCATAATGCTTGAGAGGTGCAGCTCTCGGAGGTGAAATCAGCAAACACAGCTGTCTGCCTAAAGCTTAACACTGACCATTGCTAGCAAATAAAACAAAACCTTTGGGTCTACCACAGTCAGGTTATAGTACAAACCTCCTCTAACACCTAACACAGAAATTCACCATGGATATCTTTCTACAATAAATTGTAGCTGATTTCACTCCTGCCTACACTGGAGCAAGAGAGCAAGAGATTTTAATACTGATGAAATAAAGTATGTGTATGAAAAAGCCTCTGAGTGCAAAACAAGAAGTTGATTTTTCAGGTATCCGAAGGAGAACAATGGCAATCTGCAACCCGTTTAACCAAGTCATTCTTGCTTCAATAATTTTGTTTGATAAAAATTAAGACATGTAAGTGAAATTTAAAGAACATGAAAAATCCATGTAAAAAATTACCCTCATCATGCGGTATGTATGGTAAGAGGGAAAACCAAACATTATCTTGTTTAAAAGCAGCAGAATTCTTACTGTATCAGTGTAGTCTGACACGGTCTGATTTTTTCCCTTTAAAGAAAATAACTAAATTCACCTTTCAGAACGTTACAAAGTCTTTCCACAAAGTAAAAGTGCTCTTGAGGGATTTTATTCTTATAAAATTCTAAGGAGCAGATTCATATTTATGAGGCTTTTAAAAACACTAACAGTGTGCACTATTAGCACCAATACTTGGCTGCAACGAGCTCCTTTGCTGCTAACTGTGCACAAACCTATTGGTGCATACTGATGGATATAAAGATCACAGTGTATAACACAGAAATAGAGGGTTTTTTACATGAGTTTCACTAAAGTTTAATCATTAAAATTTTGGGGCTTTTGGTTTAATATGCAAAATAATTTTCATGGGTTTAAATCTGAGTATTTTAAATTGCGTATCTTATGAACTGATGGTTTACTTTCCATGCTTGAGTGAAATTATATAACCTTACAAAGAACATTTACCATTTTAAATCTGATTAAACACTATTCCAAACAAGGACTGGAAACAGTTTCATATTTGTACAAACACAATCTTTTTAAAAGCATTATGCAAACCCATTTAGGCATTGCAAAAAAATGCTGAACTAAGAGACAGAGTGCAATATTTATTTACATTCCATTATTTCAGTAAAATGATATGTCTCTGTTTTCCTACTGAGGTTTAAATGTGTGTTTTGAATGAACAATGAAAAAACCCCACACAAAATTAAACCATCATTAAAAATAAAACTATCATCACTAAGTGTCCTAAATAGTCATATTTTTAATTAACTTTACTGAATATAAGAATGACTTAGTGAGTGATGAACCCACCCCAGGGGCAGTGCTATACTGGAGCAGTTTAAGCTTTTTCACCTTCTTATCTTATTTTTTTGCAATTCCATCTTTAAAAATAAATCCCCATATGTATTCAACTTCTTGTTTTGCATTTTCAGTTCAGTAGTGGGACTACCTTCAGTCAGCTGCTTGAATGATCTTTCAATCTGGTGCCACTTTCAATCTAAGGCATCACGATTGCTTTGTGTGCATACCTCAGCATGGAAAATTAAACATTTCATTTTGGTTTATGTTTTATTGCTTTGCTTTTACTTGAAGCTGTAGCCAGAAAGATCAAGTTACAAGAGACACTTTTCATGTTTATGTAAAGCAATGATTGAAATGATTTTAAATGTTTAGATAAATATTAATGTTTACAAGATGTACATTGAACTCGTGTTTCTTTGGTTGCTTTGCTGGTGAGACACAGAAGAGTGGCTGGGAGTAAAAGCCATAAAGGTGCAAGAGTCTGGGAGAATAACGTTACAGAAAAGGAAACAGAATCCCAGGAATATTGTGGCATACAATACTAAGAATCCTATGGCACTCCAGATAAAGAACTGGGGTGAACTCGTGTCATGCTGGAATCAGAGGAAAGAACTAAATGAAGAAAAGAGAGGCACAGTAGACAACAAGGAGTGATGGAGAAAAGTGTTACAGTTCTCAGGGTCCTAAAACACAGGCATCATTTTCCTAATTTTTTCCTGCAGAATCTCCTTAACAGTTTCCTCCCACAGCTTTAGCTCCATGAAAACTAAACTTCTGGTAGTCAGGGCTCTATCAGAGAAGAAAAATACTACTATTATTAACTGTACAGTCACAGAGACTCCAAAAGCTAATAGTTTTGCAAAGCTCGATGCTACTATATTTCACTCTAATCCTCCCACGCTGGCCACTAGTTCAGAATCAGCTTTTAAGTATATTATCTGTCTTTGGCTTGGTCTACTGCCTGGCTCTGAGAAGACTCTATGATCAATTTGGTATTATTAGCAGCAAATGAAGCATCAGCTGTGTCTCACTGATGAGTACATGCTGTGCCCAAGTCTCCACTATCATGCAACTCCAGTTGTAATCCAACTTTGAAGACTACAGGCTTTATTGATAGTTGGAGATACTGAATGCATGTAGCCCCAAATCTTCACGATTTATTGAAGTTTTAAACAAGTGTAGTAAAGTGTTCCTCACTAATATGTATTGTCAGAAAAAATACTAACATGCATATTGCTGTATGAAAAATCCTCTGAATAATATAATCTTTATTTAACTGAACAATGGCATGAAATTGATTTTTCCCCAATATGTATCACAACCCTGTCATCCTACAAGTAACTTTGGCTCCCACATTATAAATACACTTCAGTATTTCTATAGGGAATGCCAAAACAATCAGCAAGTGCTCACGGACTTTTGCCAACAAAATCATGACTCTTTGCACAAGAATTTTCTTGCCATTTATAAACAAAGACATTTTGGAAGTTCATGCTTGTGATTGGCTACAGCAACTGATATACTGCTCCATAAGATAAAGCAAATAGCAAAACAGTGATTTATTAGAAGCAGCAAATATTGTACAATAACTCCATTTTAAAATACAACATCTATGTTTTTAAAGAGTTATTTCAGATTATACTTTAAATAATCTATTGCACTAACTACCATAGAATCTATGGATTGAATATTCAGGAATTAATTCAAATTATGTAAAAAACTATCCTGTAGCATTAGCAAACAAGTAATGTTAGACTATTAAAAGCTTTCAAAGACACATATCCCTAAGACTAAAAGATAATGTTGACCACTTTACCATAAGGCAACTTTAACACCAAAATTCTCATTGGTATGGAACAGACTCAGCCATTTCTGACAAGGCTTCACCACCACCTCCTTGCTCTTCAATCCTGAGTCGTCAATGTCAGATTGATGAGGAATCTAATTTGTACAGCTAACTGCAACATATCCTCAAGAAACTGCTCTGGCATTGTGCCTCACCACGTCATACCAAAGCTTGACCACTTCACCTCTTTCCCACTGCCCTCCCTCCGGTGATCACTGCTAGAGAAGCACCCCAGGAAGGATGGCCCTAGCTGGCTCAGCAGTAGGTTCCTCTACAGCCATGCACTAGCCTCAGTGTTTTCCTAAATACAACAACTAGAGCTAATTTAAACAACTTTTAGGGTCTGTTGAAGGACTGAATATTGTCTTTGCAACTTTTATTTATGTTCCCATAACAGAATGAGGTGAGAGAATCCAAGATACTTACACTATTTTAGTTACTAAAATTCAACAACATGCAAGAAACAGGAACACTTTAAAATGCACTAGCCTCAGTGTTTTCCTAAATACAACAACTAGAGCTAATTTAAACAACTTTTAGGGTCTGTTGAAGGACTGAATATTGTCTTTGCAACTTTTATTTATGTTCCCATAACAGAATGAGGTGAGAGAATCCAAGATACTTACACTATTTTAGTTACTAAAATTCAACAACATGCAAGAAACAGGAACACTTTAAAAAAAATATTCAGT